TCTACTGCTCTAAAGTATGCATGAATACAAAGAGACGGTAAGCCAGTTGTTGTAGGTCTGCACTAACCTTGCGGATGACTATCAGGGTTAGCTAACAAAAAAGTGTCAGGCGTGCAAGTCTTGCACAAGCTTGTAATTTGTGTCTGGTGAAAGCTTGTGTGCATTCTGTTTCCTGTATATGGACAGGGGGATGTTATGCAACTCTAATTGACCTGCATGCTGGTCAATTTGAGGCCCCAACAATTGTAGCAGTTCTTTTTTGCTTTGCGATTCCTCTACTCTTTCCCCTCTCCATGTTTATGAGCCATACTAAAAAGGTTGCACTTAAAGTGGCAAATCTTGAACTATGGCAAAAGTGAGCATAGTGCAAAACACAAGTTGGTCAGGCAGCATCAAGGTTTATTTGCAAGCACCACATTTGTGGCTTGCAGTTTTTTTTTCTTGATGTGCAGAGTTTTTCTGCAGAAGCAAAAAATGGCAAGGTCAAAGATCAGAAATGCAGTAGCTGGCCACAGAAAGTGGGTGCGGCAAAATTGATATACATCAAAATGACTTCTGTTCAAAACGGTAAGGTGTCCAGCCCAGCTTATAGCTCAGAACTGGCAGAAACAATTAGGACCATAATGCACCCATCTATAGTTTGAAGACGTATTATCAGAAGTGGTCTGCACAACCCCAAATCAATTTTTATCAGAAGTGGCCTGCATGGTAAACAACCAACTAAAAAGCCAATCCTCTGCGGTAAGGATCTGGGGCGTACAGAGGGTTAGAAAGCAATAAAATGTTATCTCTTTCCTGTGTTTGTTAAAGTATCTTTCCTATGTTATATAACTGCAGTTAGGTGAAAGTATGACATTGTAAATGCATACATCACAGTCTCAAACTTTTGTCTGTTTTCAATTTTTATAGACATTTGATCAATAGCGACAGACTGCCCTAAAGAGGAAGACTGTCCTGATGAGGCAGATTTAACCCTGAAACGCTGGATCAACAATCTCTGGTGCTTAATATTCCTATAAGAACTCAATATCCAGTAATATTTTGTGCATTTAGGAATACATCCCGACTTTTTTTTTTAACAGTTAACTGAACTAGCTAGAACTAGCTCCTGGGGGAGTCTATTCCACATCTCTAACTGTGAAGAATCCTTTCCATATGCAAAGGATAAACCTCATTTCCTTCAGATGCAAAGAGTGCCCCCTTGTCCTTTGCAGTGACCTTAAAGTGCATAATTTGGTACCAAGCTCACTAGATGGACCATTTATGTATTTATACATGTGATCATGCCGCCCCCC